CATTGCCTACTAAGAAAGTTAGTAGCCGGTAATCATCAGGTTAATGTAGTAATTTGAAATAATTAAGCATATCAATTACCACTTCAGTTGAAGTAATCTTAACTTAACTTTTTATTCGCAATTTAATTTGGTGAAATGATCTCAGTTGAACCATGAATTTGTAATTTTGGTTCATAACTACTACTAGCGTGACTACTTCCTATTCAGAATTTTGGTGTGACCACTACTACATCAAATGCTGTTTCTCAGGCTTCAGTTTTTACACTTTTGGCTGTTGAGGTCTAGGCTTTAGTTTGACAGAAGCTTGAACACTACATTAGAACCTGAACAAGATCTCTCTCCAGAAGAACCTGGTCTTGATGATGAGGATTTGGAGAGCCTTCTTCCTCTTCCCTAATATGCTATGCAATTCTGTACCTTATCTGTGGAAGCAGCCAAGCCTCCATTAGCCTCTTTGGACATGATTTCACAAGTATATTACCTCTTGTCTGTATCCCCCTGTCTCAAAATACCGTACACCTTCCCTTTTACACACCATTCCTGCATTGGAATACCTCATCCCCCCCCTCTGGATACAAGGGACCATGATGACCAGTTCCAGGCTTAGTTATGTGCTGGGTCTAGCATGCCTCATCACCCTCAAGCTTCAGATCTTTTCTTGGCTCCTAACACCTGGAGTCTTTAACTCTATGACTACCATGTCCTACAATCCGTATGACCTAATGTCCCTATCATTATATTTTATTCCAAAAATAAAACTAGTGAATGAACTTATTTGAAATTTCACAAGAACCTTCCTAAAAGTATGTAGTTTGAGAAAAATAAAATGTTTAATTTTGATTTTTTGTACTATTTCTAATAAACAATTTGGTATTTAATGTAGTTTTTTGCACTCAGCCTCTGAATAGTTCACCTGCAAGGTAATTTTCATTTTGAGTATAAAAAATACTACTTATTATCTTACAGTTTTCACATTTTATTTCCATCAATCTCTAGGACCTATGAAATGAATATTAAAAGTTTTTAAAGGTAAATGTTTATATTTTATTTTCCATTTTCTCTACTATATTACTAACTCTACTATTATCATGTGCAATAAAATGTTTAAAATGTTGTTTACTGTTGATCATTTATGTTGACGCATGTCAATGGGTACCCCCAAGCAATAGAATGGTATGAATGGCCGAGATACTTTAGCCTCTGGCAAAATCTTTTTTATATGCAACTGGTAATTTAAGCCTTGTAGAGCAAGGCAATGCTTTTTATATTTTATAAAAATTATTAAATCTTTCAAATATGAATTTTAAAACATAATAAATTAAAATAGAAAAGTAAAACCTAAATGGAATTTAACTGTCTATCAAAGTAATATGTATAAGGAGAGAAAAAATAATTGAGTGCTAGGGTCACCAATCTAAACAATGGACAAGTGGCAGTTTGCTTGTTATTTCAAAAATAATTTTTGGCCAACATTTCCTTCTAACCTGGAGAACTTAAGCAAGAAATCTGCTCTTTATTTTTGGATATAAGCAACAGATGACTTTGGGTGTAGCATATACCAGAAATAACTAAGTAACAATCTAATTCTTGGAATGGCTTAGTCTCTGTAAAATGAAACTGATATTTAGACTTTAACCTAATACTTGTAGCAACTCATCTAGACTGTCATAGAGGTACTGAGACAAACCTGAACAGAAAGAAAAGCTACCAAATCTAAGATATTCTAACTGCACATATGTCACATGACAAGAAACTGTAGTTTTAATTGATTGTTTCAGAGGTTTCTTTTGAAAGGAATAATGATTTGGGTAATATAAAACTTTGAATTATAACATATGTGATAATGTTAAATTCATTAAACTAAATTGATTGTAAGGTGCTTTAATTAATTTTAATGAAACTCAGTAACACTTTGTCATATGCATAGAAAGGAATTTAAAGAGTGTGCCAATAGTCATAGGGTTAATGCAAGTGTGGGGGCTGATCCTGAGTCTCCGGTTAGGTTTTCCCAGACTCCAGCTTACCCTAATCTCCCTCTTTTACTACCTCTCTACCATCCACCTCCTCACCGGGGCTCTCCATCGATCCCCTATGGGGTTTTGGTAGACATTTGTACCCTCATATTCTTCATGTTGGTGAGTTTGTCTTCCTTGGCACTCTCTTTTCTTTTGGATAGGAATGCAATTTTGTCACACGTGTCTATTCCCAACTTATCTGTGTGACACTTGATTGGCACTATTTTTATGCAGATCTGTTTTTGATGATGCCCCTAAGTCTCTGGAGTCACAGGTGGAGTCTGCATGACAACATTTCTTCTGTAGTTTCCAGGGTGTCTCAGACTTAATTTGCTCCTGCTCCCATTAATGTTTTCCAGCTCACATCTTCCCAGCCTTTACCTGTTCCTCTCTCCAGGGTTTCCACAGTGAGCCATCGGTATGGTAGGAAATTTACTATTATCACAGATCATGCGCCATTAAGATGGTAAATGACATTAAAAGACCCCTCCTCTAGATTAACGAGATGGTCATTATTACATGGGGTAGGTGGAAGTTTCAAGGCTATTGGTGATCAATAAAATTTGCATATATAGAGGGCAACATTGAATGAGAGAAGCTATTACGTGAATGGAGGTAAGCACCTGTTAAAAATATATTTACAATGTAGGAAAACATTAACTTTCATTAAAAGTTGTGTGATGATGTAGAACTGACTTATTATTACAAATTAGCCTGTGTGTTATGTTTTCAGGACTTAGATTCATAAGTTACATATATAGATGATTACAAATTAACCTGTATGTTATACTGTCAGTATTTAAAATTAATTATTTACTAATTGTCAAAGTTAAATGCTTTTACTATATATTGTGCTTAGGACTCTTATACTGTAGGTGTCTGTGACTTGTTAGCAATAAATTCAACGATAAATGAACAGCACACACTTCACTTGTTTTCAAAATTATATATGTATTCAGAACAAATTAAACATGTGTACAACAAATTCTTCACACTATAGAGATTATAGGCATATCATAGACACTATAAATATAGTACTCTTCTTCTTGTCAAAAGTCCACTTAGGCCCATTAAATTACTTTAGGATTTCAGCTGACAAGCCAAACTATCTTCTCTATTACTATTGCACTAGTATGCTGTATGATTCACTTATAATTGTGGGGTGAGTTACTGCAGACGTATACTACTCTTCCAATAATCATTTGGTCTTCTTTCTTCAAAATATCCTCTGTTCCTTTTGTCAAAGTGCACTAAGGCTGATTCAATTACTTTAAAACCACGCTTTGATGGAATAAATTCTCTTTCTTATCTCCTTTTCTACTGTTAGTCTTACTCTTACATATTAAACATTAGGCCTATGTTAATCATTAGGCCTACCACTTCTATGGTAGTTAACTTCACAAACTTTTCCTTGTTGAAACTTTACTTTCTTCTGCTATTGTCTGTCTGCTGTTTCTGCTCATCTCACACTGTTTATATCTCTATCACTTAATCGTCTACCTGCCTTCTAGAAATCTTTATTCTTGACCTCAATGTATTGCACGCAAAATTTGATAGTCTCAACATTAATGAATTATTTATAAAACTTCCTACAATCATCTCCTTTTAACTCTTATTATAACAAAAACTAAACAATAATAAAATATTAACTCACAAAATAAATTAATCAGTTTAATCTAAACTAAACAGTCTTTTATATCATGACATAGACTATCAGGACTCAGATTCATAAGGTACATACATAGATTATTACAAATTAACCTGTATGTTACACTATCAGGATTTAGAATAATAAGGTCTGCAGACAGATTACAAATTAACCTGTTTGTTGTGTTGTTATGATTTAGATCCATAAGATCTATTGACAAATATTACAAGTTAATACTCTGTTTTATCAGGATTTTGATGCACATTGCCCATACACAGATTATTAAAAGTGAACCTGGATTTAGATTTCTAAGATCCACAGACAGATTATTATAAAGTAACCTTATGTTATACTATCCATAAAGTCTGCAAACAGATTATTACAGATTAACCTCTGTTTTGTATTAATAGGATTTAGATCGAGAAGGTCTACTGAGTGATTATTACAAATTAACCTCTATGTTATACTGTCAGGTTTTAGCTTCAGAAAGCCCATGTAGAAAATAGTAACCACGTGTCTTATGAAAGTAAATGTAATAATTACTGATCATAGTTTTGAAAAGTGCAAGTGCTGACATGGAGGTTTGTACATCATATTTATGAAATTTGTAAAAAACTTGGGTGTGCCAATGTGTGTATGTATATTTATTTCTTATCCAGAGGTGCTACAACAAAACAACAAAAACATGAAGACTCAATTCCAGACATTGATGAATTGGCAACAACAGATAAATCTTGTTCATAATGATCATCGAAAGAAATTTGAAGAATCAAGAATTCTGATTGAGGAGCTTCGTGTGCAAAACTGTGAATTGACTGATAATTTGTTAGAACTAGAAAAGAAGTTTGCTAGTCACAATGATGTAAGGAACTGATTACATATTCTAATCTCTGTTGTATTTTGTAAAGCATAATGTTTTACTTTTGACATGATGGCAGTATATTACTATTAATTAGTAATCCACAGTGTTTGAATGGATAGTCATTATTAACATTTTATACAGTTTAAGTTAGGTCTCTTACTGTAACTGCTGCACACTAAGATATGATGTTCTGTATGATCACATTTCATATCTTAGTTTTATTGTTCAGTGTACATAATGATCTCTTGAATGTGAGATCACTTTTCATATGTTTGTTTTTGTTGTTCAGGGTATGTGATGAGTTCTTGATCATATCACTTTTTATGTCTTAGTTTTTGTTCTGCAATATACATGGTGACCTCTTGACATTTGTGGTCACTTTTCATATCTCAGTTTTTGTTGTTTGGTGTGTTTGATGATTACTTGACCTTATGATCACTTTTCTTACTATAATTTTGTTTTTCTATTGTTTTTAGTGTAATAATGCTGTTTTCTATATGCCAAAGTAAAGGCTAACTTGCTGGTATTTGGAGTCTTAAAACAGATATGTTGTTTAAAGATAAGTTTATGTTTATTTTAGTATAAAGCAAGTTTACTTTCGAATATAGCTTGATAGTAACTTCCTATTTGCAATGTATAAATCAATATTTTTGATATGTTTTGGTAAAGCAGTTGATTTTTTTTATTGACTAGTGTCAACAGATGAAGTTGAAAGTTGAAGAACTTACATCAAAGATCCAGGATGCTGAAGGAGACAAACAAGCAATTTCAGCTGAGTTGGAAAGACAACAAGTGATCTGCATTCACTTAGAGGAGCGAGTACGAGAGATGACAGGAGACTATGAGCAACTAGAAACAAATTATCAACAATTAGAAGTAGACAAACGTGAACTTACAGCTCTCAATAATGATTTACAAACTAGGCTCATGAAAATGTGTTGTAAACAGGTAGGTTACAAACTAGTCTTATGTAAAATATGCTGTAAATAAGTAAGTTAGAAACTTGTCATAGAAATGTGTTATAAATGAGAGAGTTACAAATTAGACTTAAAGAAATGTACTGTAAACTGTTAGCTACAACCTTCTTTCATGAAAAATGTGCTGTAAACTAGTGGATTTTGAATTAGATTCATAGAAATATGTTGTCAAGAAGTGAATCACAAATGAGCTGTAAACACTTGAATTACAATTTAGTCTCATGTAAAATGTACTGTGAACAGTGATGTAGATCTTTGTTTCATGAAGCATGTGTTGTAAATAAGTGACTTCCTAACTACTCATAGAAAAAGCATGTTGGAAACATATAAGTTACAAACTAGACTCATAAAAATGTGTTGTTCATTACTTGTAGAAAGTACTGTTTCATTGGCCATGGCCAGGCTCATGATTTTGGTCATATATATAAGTCTGTTCTATGATCTGAGCATGTCCAAACAGTTTTATATCTGTAATACTGTATAGCTACATGCTTTTTGATATAACCCAAAAATTTTGCATCCTGGGGTGTGGGTGCTGATTGACCTAGCTGCTGATGTGACACTCCCATACATATCCTATTAAATTTAGCACAGAATGAAACGTTAAATGGTTAACAAACCAATTATTAGTGTCATTACTGCTATTGGCTGTGTTACAAACATGGATTACTAACTAACTCTTGAAGAAGTGAGAGTATTCAACTGATAATCAGAATTTTTTTTTAATTATTAAAAGATGCAGTAATTTGTTTTTTTGTATCCCATAAAATCATTTTTTTAAGCAACAATGTAGTCATTAGCATGTAAAATTGTTCATGATAAAGATAAATAAGTCCATTAAGTAATAAATGTTTTTCCTTTTTTTTATATAATTGAATAGTTAAATTTCTTACTCTTAAATTATATCTTATTAACTTCTGCTTCTATTTAAAAATATCTTTTGATTGTTAAATAGTTAGAAATGAATCTTAAATTTGAAGGAACTTATACCTATTGTAAGGTACAAAGATAGAGAGCATTAATGTTTGATAGTGAATGTTTACTGTATATCAACAGAAATATCCAACACTGAAAGAAGTTAAAAATAATACCATTACTTATAATAATATATAAAAACATGTAAGAAACCAATTATAAAAGGGTTCCTAAAATACTCACAAACACAAAAGTAGGTAAATGTAAAATTTATCTTGGATGGAGGAACAACAAAGAAAAGGTTTTCAGCTTTTGAGTTTCTAAAACTTGCTTTGTGGTTCATGATAAAGTGCATTGTTGTCACACACCATAAGATTATTTGTTTGTATAATCATACAGAAATATAATTTTCATGTTATTCTATCATTCAAACAGTACTTTGAATGTTGATATTCCCATAAAGTAAGGTTTAGAATGTTTTATCCAAATTCACTTTTTGTAAGTCCAAGAATTTTAAACAGGTACATTTGTCTCAAGACTATAGTCAAATCCTTCTTTTCTTTAGTTGTGTGACTAGCATCACAAGAAAAGAGAAAGCTGATTTTTTTTTCTTTTTTATGGTGTATTGATACAAGTATAGGTTTATATAAATAAATAAATATAAAAATATACATGGTTGTATTTTGAACTGGATCTTAATGTATTATTTGTAAATTTAATGATGGAAATAGATGCTAAGAAAGGTTAAAAAAAACTTGCATTCCTCACTAATAGTTCTCTGCCTTATTTACATTTTGTCTTTAAATCTTTGTTTTTTGTGACAGCCATATTTACACATTATTCCTGAATCAGTAAAATAACTATTTGTAGATGCATTCAATCATGAAGAGTTTTTTTTTCTTTCAGTCTTTAGTTTATTTGAAGTAGCTAAGTTCACGATGACACAAACCACATTTGCTCATCTTAATTTACTTTGATATGGTAAAACAGCTTCACAAAATTAAGTTTTTTTTTGTATGCATTTTCCAAAATATGTAAAGTTTTATACAAAATCATTTTACCACTGCATTGCGGTTAATTCCCATAAAATTTATTTTTTTATTATCATCTGTGATTAGTGCTGAAATCTTATCTAGAAAAATGCTCCTGTTTATGCATTATGATAATTTTTAAAAATTGTACATAATAAGTTATGCATGTTGTGTTAAAATCAACAAAAAAGGTAAAGATACTACTAAATTTACAAATGACATAATCATTTTTTATCATACTTCAAACATTTTCAAATACTGTTTAATTTACTCTAAATGTGTATAATAATGAAGATATTTTTCATTGTATCAGTGTAAATTTCAACATATTTATTTTGTGCCAAACAGTTTCAAGTATATTTTTCTAAAGCAAAAATATTTCATATGGAGCTTAGGAAGTTTTTTCAATATCAAACATAGAATTCTTATTTCAAATGGTGTTCCAATAATATTTTTATGCTATAATGTATTTCTTTTTTAACTGAAATAGTTACAAATTTTACCCTTTTATAACTAGTTGAGTCACATGTATTCAGCAGGGCTCACGATTAATTCTTTTTTTTTGGGGGGGGAGGCAGTCAGGGGCCCATAAGCAGTTTTATGGGTCAATCCTATAGTTCATTGTAAAATGTACTTTATAGTGGGGTTATCATAAAAATCACTGAATTAAGTAGTAGATGCTACTTATATTGAAAGGAACTAAATATATCAACATATCTCAATTTATTTTGTTGTGAACTAGTATTTCATGAAAAAACTTCATTTTTTTCAGACCACTTGAATGATTTTTATTTCCTGTATGATCTTTAATTTTTATCCAAAGCATGGTATAACAGTAACTTTTTGTTCCCTTTTAATGTAATTTCCTTTCTTAATCAAAATAATTATTGTTGCAAAAGAACTTTGTACTTACGATTAAGAGTCTACCCATGACAGACCATTGCCAAAAGATATTCATTCAAAGTTGCAGAGAACACAGCATAAAAGTCACCCAAGTCACACAAAAATTGCCAAAAGTTAAAAAATTTTCTTAAATAAACAGAATGAAATGTTGATGATCCAAAAAAAGGATTCAACAGAAAAAAAGGGAACAGGACTGAGTATGAAAAGGAAAAAGAGAAAAACTGGTTACAGGGGTGAGTAGGAGAGGGATAATAACTGGTTATACAATGATGACAGTGGCTTAATATTCTATAAGGTATGTCAAGAAGAAAATGTGAATCTGAAAACTGTTAGTGGACTGTTAGCATAAAGAGCTCATAATTATTCTGCACATATGTGTTTTGTGCCAAATTGAAAGTCTGTTGCCATAGCAATTGATACACCCTTCACTAATAGACCACTAACAGTTTTCAGAATACCACCTCATGAGTGGCCAATCATAGCTGGGTATCTAGCCCTATTTTACAGGCAAACATTTAATGTAACTCAAATTGGGCCATAGCACAAAATTTATGGAAATTCTATTATTTTGGAGTTTATACTTTTTAATGAAAACATGTCTCTCTAAACATAAACCAAAAAGAAATTATTGTATCAGAAAAGGCCAAAATGGCCTGAAAATCATCAGAATTTTTTGTCACCACAAGACCAATACGCTTACTGGAAATAATAGATCTAATCTTTAGGTTCTACAGCCATATTTTCCATCATGCAATTTATGTTTTTAATAACTGTCATATAATGCAAGTGTAAGATTTTTACACAAAAAATGCCTGGCAAACATACTAATCCAATTATCACAAGGCCATACCAGGTCCGAGATTAGACTCCAAGTTTTATGCATAGAACTTCTACTCTGCATAAAGCACTTCTAATGCATTCTAGCACATCGTTTATAAGGCAGTAACATTTCTTTCTACAGGTATATTTCTTCTTTCAATCCCAATTATTATTAAGAATGTTTCCCAGGTGCTCAGTGCAGAGCATGCTAACATTTTTATGTGTCAACTTCACAGGCTGTGGACCCATAAATCACCTAGCATTTAAACAAGGCACATCACAGCCATGGACCTCCAGACTGCGATATCCCAATGGGCCGGCAAATAACTTTGTTTGCAGCTTAGCTGCTCACTATTATGGGTCCTTTGGGATAATGCAATCAAGTTGGGGTACCTTAGCAGTGACAGCCTTGGCAAAGTCTATGAACCACCTGGAACACATCATCTTGAACATACATTGCTTGAACTGTATACACAATACATAAAAACACCTCAAGTATCTCTTACACACATACATATACACACTGTAGGTTATACATGATGTATACATCGTACAACAGCACAGCTAGCACACACACCTTTCAGCTAAACATTCATTGCTCTGGCATTTGTACTGATGATATTTGTGAATTTTACATGACTGATGAGTGTTCGTAAATTTAGGAAGGTGTATTCATGGTTTGTCATAAGTTCTGCTTGGTTAAGAAATGCTTAGATCAATTTATGCGAAGTTAAACTTCTAATGGCTCTTTTGATTTTAAGAGGCCATGTGGGCTTCCTAGCAAACAATTTTTATGGGCCTGCTAGCATTTTTGGGGGCCATTGGCTCCCAGGACCTCACTAATTTCGAGCCCTGTTCAAGTAATATTTCTAAATTAGCAAGTGTAGCAAGGTTTTGTTTTGAGTCTCTTATGGCTGAGATGTAACAAGATGTGTGTACTGGATGCAGTTCAGCATATTTCAACACAACACCATCAGGAGGAGGAAAAGATATCATTTTGCTACAATCCAGTAGGTTAAGAGTTAATTGTAGTCTTCTATGCAAGCAAACTATATGAATGATGATCGAGAACCATGTCTAATGGCCGAAAACACTATGGGATGCAACTATATCTTGTTATACATATAGCTTGCCTTGATATCTTCTTGTACATATAGTTTGTTTGGATATCTTATTGTACATATAGTGTGTTTTGATGTCTTGATGATGCATAATGTGTATGAATTCCTTGTATGCAATATGTGTTAGATGTCTTTTAGTATTTACAGTATGTACGTATCTTGCACATAAAGTGTATGTAGATGTCTTCTTGTACAATGTGTTGGGTATCTTGTTTTGTTAATATTCATGTATCTTATTTTCTTATGTATTATTTTATATCTTCATAACCATTAGTTTTGATTGTACTATAGAATAATTACTACTATTGACTTGACACAGTTAGTTAGTAACATACTTCTCATAAATTGTCACAGATATTACTTTCCTCTAAGATTAGATAGTAGGAGTGGCTTAATGAGTTTTCTTTGGTCAAATGACGTGTTAGGGAGAATTGGAGAAAAAGCAGAAATATGCTACTGTTAGTGACTAAGATTAAGTTTTTTGAAGAAATTGGTTTTTATGTCAGTAGTTCAAACTAACAGATAATGTTTTGTGTTCAGTAAGTAGGATATACTATATCATTTATATATTGTTACTTTATTTAACATTATTGGTCACACTATTTAGTATGCCAAATGTCATTACTTTTTTATTTTTTATTTATTTTATATTAGGATACTTTTATTATAAAGATTGTTTTGTATTGTTAGCTTTATATATGTATTTAGGGTTAGTCCAAATCTCATGAGCTGGCCAAACCTTGTGAGGTATTATTAGGAATAAGGTCAAAAATATTGTAAACAGTGAGGATTCTAACTGATGAAACAGTGATTATAATTTTTGTAAGTAGGAACATAAAGTTGTATTTAATTAGCTATACTGATTGGCAGATTGAGTTTTAGTTTTGGTTTAAATACACAACTTGCCCTGTTCACAAATTAATATTTATTCCTGAGTAAAGTGCTTGTATTTTTGTATGTTGTCCACATTTGGTATACAAAACACAGTGTTGTGAAGAATATGATACTTTTCATATAAAAACTTAAGAGTGGTATTTTGGTTCGCTTAAACCATTTGATTTTGTATAGTTAATGTACTTAAAAAAAGTGTAATTACAAATGTTTTACAGGTATTGGATAGTTTTTTTAATGTTTGCCCATACATATGTGTATATATACAGTTAAAATATGTTTTGTTCATACATTATAGAAATCAGTTTCTTTACTTTCAGATTTAGGTTTGTATAGGCAATTTTAGAAATATTAATATGTTTGGAATATTGATTATACATTGCAATAATGCTTAACAGATCCCAGAGTAATGTCATAACAATACATTTTCCTTAGATCTGAAATACATAGTTTATTGATTTTCTTCTGAAGTAATTTAAAATGTTTTATCCTGTAATTTTTGAACTATGTGCATTTGAAAAGTCTATGAAAATAAATTTTGTACTGTAAAAACCTAATGATAAATTTTTATATTTTATTTAAAAGCTTCATTAGCTAGGCTGTTTAATATTTTTTATAACATGTATAACATTTGTGATTCTTGTAACTTGCTTCATACTCTGGAAGTAGAGTAACCTGTCCTACCATGTTGTGAATAAATAGGCTGCAAATGAAATTTGTTGAAATTTGCTCAAGTTTCTAAATTAGCCTTATAATGATGGTAAATTATTAACCTTTGTATAACAAAGTGAAAACGTTTTAAAACTGTTCACAAGAAGCTTCTAAGAACATAAAAAAAAGTATTTTAATTATTGTAAGCAAATTTTGATGTGAAACTTTTCTTTTTTAAAATATAGTTTTATCTGAGTTTTTCCTATATCTCCAAAGTAGCAAGTATATGTACTTCAAAATTACCTTTCATATGATGGTTTTCACTTTAAGTAGGCCCCATCCAAATTCTGGAATAAAATGCAAATACTGTATAAAGTGTTTTTCACACAACACTGATCTTTCTTTATAGGGAGTAGAAAATGATTCTTACCCAATAGTCACAGAAGAACATGGCTACACAGTAGTTCATCCAGGTTCATCAGGTTTTAGTGTAGGAGATGATGTAAGTGTAACATCTAACTATGTAAAGAGCTCAAGTAAAATGTATGCAGATAAATAATGGTTTAACATCTAATTCTCTAAAGAACTCAAATAATATGTAAGTAGTTAAGTACTGGTGTGATATTTATATTGTTTATAACAAAATAATACTGATAACAGTTAAGGTACTCAACTGATAAATCAGTGCATTCTAAACATTATAATTTTTGTTTTATGCCATTACTTACTCTAAGTTAGACTTGTATATGAAATTAGTTATATTATTTACTGGATTAATTTGTAATTCCAATATATCTAGATAGCTTGCTTTAATCAGAAGATTTTGGTAACATATTGTAAGTAGTTAAGTATGTGTAACATAATGTAAATAGACAAACACTGGTGTAATTTCATGTGTATAAATAAGTCATTGTAACATGAAGTAAATAGATAAATCTGGTGTAACATAATTTGTGTATGTAAATGATTGTAACATTATGAAACAGATAAGCTTAAACACTTGTAACATGATGTAACTAGATAGCTTCTAGTGTAGAAGGTGAGAGAAATCTTTTGTAAGTTAATATTTAATTCCAATTTCTATTGAGTAATAATTTTTGAATAACTTTTCTTAGACTAGTATACGAGGGGCTTTGCTTCGACTTCACGAAGAACAAGCTAAGAATGCTCGACTGACACAACAACTGGCAGAAGAACAATTGCAAGTGGGTAAAAGATTTCCCTGTGCATAAGATAGTTACTCATATTTCATAAAAAGTCACAAAATGACACTTTTCAACATTTTGCTATTGCAGCATGAATACTTAAATGAAATTTTGAATGAACAAGTAATTTCATATGCATTCATACTTTAATTGTTTGTTGGTGATGATTCAACATGATTTCCTTGATTCTCCAGTTGACTTTGTTTTTATTTTGGAACTTCAAGACTGAAGAAGCTACAGTGTTACATGTGTTTTAATCTGTAAAATTTCACATGAAAATTAGATTTATATTTTATTACAGAATTGAGGAAAAGAACAAAGACAATTGTCAGTAAAGGCATCATCAGATAACTGATGATGCCTTTATTGGTGAAACTATGGTCGTTAATAAATGAAATATTTATGAAATATGCAATTATCTTTCTTCTTTTCCTCAGTTTTGTAATTATGGAGTTTCAGTACAATTATATTTACATTTTATTGTTTCTTAAATGTAAGGCATACTGATACGATATTCTATTAACTTTATGTTTATTAAGATATAAATGATTTTGTTTTATTATTGTGTAAACTACATGTTTATTAGGCTATAAGTAACACTGTAGTGACATATGGTGCACCTCATATGTATTCATATTTTAGCGATATTCTTTAAATCTGTCAAGAGTTTCATCTTAATGTAAGTGTATATTTGACCTTAGCACAGAAGATGTCTCCAGATTCTCAGAATTATCATTTACTGATGTATTTCAGGTACTTCAGATGAAAAAAACTCTCCAAGAGAAAGACAATTTGCTGCAGCAATTTGAGAAACAACTTAATATGAACAATCCAGACCACCCTGGTAGTGAGAATCTTGCCCTGCCCCCATCTGGCCAACCTGGTGGTTACAAAGTTATTATGTCCTCATCTGGCCAATCCGGTAAGACATGCCAACAAGGAGGTCATCAGCTACTACTGGTATGTGGTCAGAAGATGGACATGGCAAATTCAGTTCTTGAGAAATCAGGAGCTAGGTTGGTTTAGAATTTTGATGTATAATTATATAGTAGATAGAGTTGGAACAATATTGAAAAACAGTTATTGTTAAATAAGGTATTATGATATTTTCTGGTATACAAGATGATCATGATTCTGCACATGGATTAAAAAATTATTTTCCAAATCTGTTGTTCTTTTGCCATTTTAAGTAAACAAAATTAAGCTGGAGGTAGGAGAGGCAGAGACAAAAAATATAACACTACTGCCTATTAAATAAATTTAAGATATTTCTTTAAATTAAAAAGACACATAAGCTGTAACCTTAAAAAACTGAAATGCATCTCTAGACTTCAACAAACTTGGAATAAAATTTGAATTAGACCCCTTTGGTAACTTTCATTAGTGCTTCTCCTTATAATAATGGCTATCACATATTCTTTAGAACTGTAGCATGGCATATATTACATATAGGTCTGCTTTCATCACCATCTTGAATATCAAAACAGTATAAAACTGAAATGGAAGAAAAACACTAATAGTAGTAATTTCACCTACATTTGCAATCATCGTCTTGTTGTTAGTTTGGGCTTGATAATACATGCATATCTTTATTGCAGCGTGATATTCAAATAAATTAAAGAACAGATAGGATAAAAATAATATTTTTATTTCGAAATGAAATATTGTCATTTATGATAACTCAGTAATTCTGTTTTTTGTGTTATTTTATTGTTGTGATTTCTGGACTACAGTATTACTTACTTTATTGTCTCTACCCTAATGGTAGAATTAATACATGTGTAATCGATTATATACACATAAGATTCATATTCACTTTTATATATAAATATGTGATCACATGCTGTTATATATATGTAAGATTGCTCTGTGTATGTGGTTTTAGAGTATTATTTATGCGTGAGATTCTTACACATTTGTAATTATATAGGATTACGTGGATGGCAGATTGTTGTATATTTGTGTAACTGTATATAAATATTAACATGTAAGATTTGTATATTTATGTAATTGTATAGGAATATTGACATTTATGAATAATATTTTCTGATCAGAGTAAGCTATGTATTTATAGCAAAACTCAAAATCAACCTAGCCATCAGTATAGCTAATTAGATATACTTTTTTTACTTTTCTACTTGTAAAGATTAGAATGCATTGTTTCATCAGCTGAGTACCCTCACTGTTAAAATTATATTTGTCTGTAATCCCCATGATATCTTGCGAGATTCAGCCAGCCTGGGAAATTTAGGTTAGTCTTAAATAGATATTTTAAACTAACAATGCAAAACAATCTTTACAATAAAAGTACAGTAATAAGTAATAAATCAAAATAAAAAGTAATGATATTTGATATGCTAACTAGTATAATTAATACTGTTAACCCTTTAACCTTATAATGATGCCATGCTTCATTTGTAAGTAGGTTATACAACTTTCGTGAAATTTCTTTACAAAAATGAAACTAGTGGATGAAATTGTTTGAAATTTGACAAGAACCTTCTTGAGAATATGTAGTTTCAGGAAAATGTTATATTTAATTTGATTTTTCTACTATTTCTACTAAAAATTCGTTATTCTGAAATGGTATTACTTTGCTCACACAAAAGCTATCTCAATCATTGTCTACTCTCTAAGCATTGCTAAAAAATTTTTTAGTAATAAGCACACCTTTCTTTATTCATACCTCATTAGTTTTATGCCATTTCTGAACATGTACATATGATGTGACTGTTTTCTACTAATAGTATTGTGCCACCTATAATGGTGCAGCTAGCTCCCTCTGCTATTCCTGCTCAATCCTCACTTTCTCGATTGGTATGACACATTTTAGATGTGTTTAATTTTTCCAAGTGTGACAACAGATTTTGACTTTGCTTTGTTGCTGTTTCCAACAAAGTTTGTTCAACAATTTTTATTTTCATGTTTGATTTCATTTGTTTTCATGAACTTCCATTTCAAATTTTCTCATTCCTGAATTCTGTGTATTTTAATTTGAATTTGTGGCTTCCTGTGGTATACAATGATAATATCATGACAGGCTACAATGCAAATTGCACGATTTCCCAGAACACTGGGTCTACTTTATCTACTGAGAAAGTGAATGTCTTGGTTCGCAGGGAGTTAGTCTTACAATTGACTGGCATTTTCTTCTTATTTTCAGTGTGACACCGTTTCTGTGAAAGAAGACACTCACTGAGTTACATTTTTCAGCCACTTTCCCCAATTGCCGGCCACTATATTTTTCAACCAAGGGAGACTTGTTCTTATCCTCTTTTTTTCCTCTAGCTTCAAGTTCTCCTGGAGATTTGTGGTAAGTTTTTCACCATGTAAAGTTCACACCAGGTTGATATACCAGTGGTAGACTTGGTTCCGATACCCTTTGCAAGACATTGCCCTTCCTTGCACACTAGAGATGTGTATTTCATGTCATCAGTGCTCAGACTTTGGTAAGTTAGATATTTAGGTGTACTTTGGTAGATAGGTTGTGTTAGTTGAATTGTATGTTAGATATTGATTATTACTTTGTAATTTTGGTAAATTTAGTCATTATGCATGTTTGTTAATTTTACGTATTTGGTTAGTTTAATTTCAATGTATGGTAAATTAGTTATTGCTTATTCAGGTGTTTTCTAGGTAATTTTCGTCAGTTTGCATGTGTGTTATAATTACATATTCTGTGCACAAGGTACATTTAAATGGTTTGTCCATTTTCTATATATAAATACTTTATTAACTTGGTATGTTTCAATAGTTTGTACCTTACTTATCATTACTACTTGTAACATGTATTTCATTGTTCCAATTGTTTTTTGTTTTTTTAATATAGTTGTTAACTATCTGCCTTATCATCCCTACTTACATTACATGTTCTTTGTCATCTTGGTTAATTTTGTGGAATGATGTGATACATATTGATTATTTATGTATTTTCTCAGTAATTTTCGTCTGCTTACACATTAGCTTTTATTGCATACTTTTTTGACTGGGTACATTTAGACATTTTGTTCGTTTCATTTACTTTGTTAATTGGGTATGTTTGGTTAGTATGTCTTTTCCATATCATTACTACTAGTAAGAAATATCTCTGTGAATAATTTTTTCGTCATTGTTAAATATGAACCTTCTCCTCCTAAGTTTAGTCAGCGTAGGTATTAATTCTGTGTCCTTGTCATCTAGGTTGCTTTCTCTGTCTGTTACCTTAGATATTGCTTGTTAGTGTATTTTCTTGGTAATTTCTCTCAGTTGGCACGTTCCTTATTTTTACATTTTGTGTGGACTAGAAAAATTTTGATACTTTGCCCATTTGATTTTTATCAGTCCTTTGTTTATTGGGTATATTTCGATTGTTGGTATGTTACCTGTCATTACTGCTAGTAATATCTATTCATTGTTCTGTCTGAATTTTTTCATGAGTGTTCAATTGTGCCATTCCTTCCTAATTTCCGTCACTATGGGCTGAGCTTAACTTTGGTTCCTTTTCCTATGTTCATGATCCTAGACAGCTCTTTACATGTTTTGTTGGGAAATACAAACTTTTGCCTGATGTTTTCACTCTATGAGTCTTGCATTCTTTCTTCTCTGGTTTGACTGGCTCCTGCTTGCTTTCTCCCATTCTCAGTCCAGAGACTACACTCCTCTGCTCCAAAAAGGTGCAGAATGGATTGGTTTCCTTATAACAAGGGTTAAGTCCATTCTGATACCCTCTCAATACCCCATTCATTTGGGGGGGGGGGGGTCTTCTTTCCAAACTCAGTTGGGCAAACTTTCTCCTCTTTGTCTTTGAGTTTGGAATGAGCAGTTCATATGTCACTCACCCTTATGGCTCAATATGTTTTATCTCTTTGGACATGTGGACTTCCTTGGAAGCTCTCATTCCCATGGGTCAGTCTCATATGCATTTCCTTCAGTGAGAACTCCTTGATCAGTGGAAATTCTCCTCGGATCTCTGGCTTGGTAGTTGAACAGAGTCCAGACAGTGGCAGAGGTGCTGCTCTCTCTGTCTCATCCACTTTCATGGCAGTGTATATGTATATCTATGTATTAAAAACCATTAAAACTATATCTTTGGTCGACCATTAGTCATGGACTTCATGAGTAAAGCAAAAGGGTATTTTTTGCTTATCCCTGCTGTTTGTTTAGTTCCTTAATAGGGTTCGATCTGCTTTTCAAAATAGGGAAACATAATTACCTATTGTACTGTCTCCTGTGTAATGTTTGTTCAAACTCCCCACTGCCTTTTTTTACCCCCGTTCTTCTAGTGGAGCATGGTAGTCCTTACCACTCTCACTTCCCAGTCACTGGGGTGGTGGACCATGAAGGCTTCATCCTGAGTGTAATTCCACATTACTATACTTATACTTGTATATCCACTCAGTGAGAATAGGATGAAGCTGGTTCACTACTGGTGCTTCTCCCTGATGTTTTCTGTCCGGGTGGACCACACTCAATAAAACTAGTGATCAAATAATTGTGACTAGCCTACATGGGATCTTCCTCATAATTCCAGGTTCAGGATGACAATGCCCTGTTCCTATGTGTAGTAGATGCCTCTCTTCTTGGTAATTCCAGTTGCAGAAGGTTCTTTCATGCTTCTACAGTTGGGTTTAAGATACTTCAACTGCCTCATATTTCTGTCAACGGGATGTTTGTGCTCTATTCTTATGGGGTGAATACTGCTTGTCCTCCTCATAATTGCAGGTACAGGATGTCTCTGCCCTGCATCTAAAGTTGAGTAAGTTATGATTTTGCCCATAATGCTGGTTACAGTTTTCCCTTTTCTTACATTTGAGTCGATGCTATGCTAAGACTCCATAATGCCATGTTCAGTTTGTCATAATACTTCTTGCTCCGACATTGGTTTTGGGAGTTTCTCTGTTTATGGCTATTGCACACTTCTTTTTCATAATTCCAGTTTCTTGAAGTACGACACTGTTTATTTATAGTTGGGGGTTGTTGGGTATTGATAACATGGTCAACATGCCTTAGTCACTTGTTGTTATTAAATTTTTTTTCT